ATATACACCCAAATTAGGCCTGAAAATATGTATGCCAAATTTGATCGAAATCGGTTCAGATATAGCTATAGCTCCCATATATATTGTTCATCCGATTTGTTATTTTTGTCCACCGCCGCCGTAATATGCACTATGCAACAACAATATTTGGGGAAATATATCAAATACAGCTCAGAAATACATTTGCAAAATTTTATCGAGATCGGTTCAGATTTGGATATAGCTCCCATATATAACTTCGTCCGATTTACCTTTCATTGTGCACCAAAGGTCTAATACTTGCCCAAATTGGATGAAACTTGGCACCGAATTGAGTCTAGAAGCTAGTATGTCAAATTTGGTGAAGATTGGTTCAGATATAGCTATAGCTCCCATTTATACTGTTCATCCGGTTTGACATATTTGTTATCCACAGCCGTAATATGCACTCCGTAACAACGATATTCAGGGAAATATATCAAATACAGCTCAAAAATATCGTTGCCAAATTTTATCGAGATCGGTTCAGATTTGGATATAGCTCCCATATATATTTTTATGCGATTTCAATTTAATTGTGCACAAAAAGGGCAATACAAGTTCGAATTTAAAAGATACAAATTCTTCGGCATATTTAGTCCTTTGAACTTTAAATTATGATTTTAATATGATTGAATTCTCCCGTAAGAACTTTAAATTGTTATGTAGAGCTCTACTAAATTAGCCAAATTTGTACCAAATCGTGAATGGTATTCAAAGTTCGGCCCGGCCGAACATACACCTTTTTTGCTTGTTTATTATATTCTTGTATTTTCTTACTTTTTTGGCTACCTTAAATTTTATAGTCAGATGTTCTCAATATGTCGACAACTATAACTTTAAACCATCTAGATGGCAATTCTTCTAGTCTGAATAAAAAATATCAAATTCACCTTGATAAATATTCATTCGATTTTTTTGGCCCTTAATTGAAGCAGTAGCCTTTATTAATATTGAAATTCGACATGTTTACCAAAATTACAACAAATATTTAAGATATAGCCAGCTCATTTTCATTTATAGCAGATGCTTGTTATGCTAAGGAAACAATTTGACTGCATGCACGTGAACTTGCCAACAGTTTTTTTTTCTGTCGGATTGATTGCCAGTTCAATTATTCTTAACGATATACTTCTGACATGAAATTAAAAACTTAATACAAACAAGAAAAAAATATTAAAGGAATTTTAATTGCAATAAATATTTTTGATTTAATCGTTCTTCAAGCTGAACAATTTTTGGAGAGTTTTTCATACAGTAATAATAGCGATAAAGTTTTGGTAATTAAAAAACAACGTATTTTTTCTCGTTTGTTAAGAGGTGGAACATAATTTTGTAGGTACATATCATGGTACAATGATATCAAGGTAGGGCTATGATACCATATGATTTTAATTTTTTTTATTTTCTTGGCTTAATATGTCATCTTTATTTGTTTGTGTATGTGTTTTCTTTTCAATAACAAAAAAATTGTTCAGAAAATATTAAAATTCGGGTGTTTTCAAAATGTTTATTTCAACGTATGCATCGACAAAATCTAGAGTTTTTGTAGCGAAATAATCCTTTAGAGATATATAGTACATGATTTTGAAAAGAAGTGGTGATCTTTCATTTAGTTATCGCGGTTTTCAATTATTTATTCAAAATAAATGCAACAAGTTGTTTGATTTTTTTATTGTTTTGATACTAATTTTGACATTACAAGCCAAACAGGTAGACCTCTATACTTGCAATTTTCTCAAAGTTGACCTACCTTCTCTTCATTGTACCATGGTACATATTATCTAATGACAATATTAGAATAACCAGTAAAGAAAGTCCTAAAGTCGGACGGGGCCGACTTTATGATACCCTATACCACTTTACTAATTTAGTAGAGCTCCACATAACAATTAAAAATTTTTCATGGGAGAATTCAATCATACACGCTATGATTATAATCATAATTTAAAGTTCAAAGGACTAAATGTGCCGAAGCATTTGTATCTTTTAAATTTGGACTTGTATTGTCCATTTGGTGCAAAATTAACTTGTAATCATATAAAGATATATATGGGAGCTATATCCAAATCTGAACCAAATCCCAAGGACGAACCCTATTGAAATTGGAGATAATCGGTAAAAATTTAGATATAGCTCCTATATATATCTTCGTCCGATTTGCTTTTTATTGTGCACCAAACGTTTAATATTAGCCCGAAATGCATTGAATTTTGCACATACAACCAAATTAGGCCTCAAAATAAGTATGCCAAATTTGATCGAAATCGGTTCAGATATAGCTATAGCTCCCATATATATTGTTCATCCGATTTGTTATTTTTGTCGTCCGCAGCCGTAATATGCACTCTGTAACAACAATATTTGGTAAAATATATCAAATGCAGCTCAGAAATGTCTTTGCCAAATTTAATCGAGATCAGTTCAGATTTGGATACAGCTCCCATATATAACTTCGTCCGATTTACTTTTTATTGTACACCAAACGTCTAATATTTGCCCAAATGGAATGGCATTTGGCACTTACGACCGAATTGAGTCTAGAAGGTAGTATATCAAATTTGTGAAGATCGGTTAAGATATAGCTATTGCTCCCATATATATTGTTCATCCGATTTGTTGTATTTGTTACCCATAGTCGTAATACACACTCCGTAACAACGATATTCAGGGAAATATATAAAATACAGCTCTGAAATGTCTTTGCCAAATTTAATCGAAATCGGTTCAGAATTGGATATAGCTCCCATATATATCTTTATTTGTTTTAAAATAAATTTTGCACCAAATGGGCAATACAAGTCCGAATTTAAAAAATACAAATGTTTCGGCAAGCTTGTCATAGCTTTTAATTGTTGTGTGGAGCTCTACTAAATTAGCAAAGTGGTGTAGGGTATCATAAAGTCGGCCTCGCCCGACTTAAGGGCTTTCTTTACTGTATTTTTTTTTTTTTTTTTTTTTGAAAATTTTCTAATTCGTTCCAAATGGTGGAGTGTATTCAAAGTTCGGCCCGGCCGAAATTACTGCTTTTTCACTTGTTCATGTTCGGATACTCGGTTCGTTTAATATAAGATTTTTTTATAGTCACAGATGAAGGCCAAACGGTTTTACGGCAGATGCGGCTCCCTGCCTGTCTGTAGGTTAGATCGTGCTATTACTTTCGAACGGGGAATCCGATTTGGTTTAAATTAGTTCAGGTTCAAAGAAGTGTAACATCGGTCCACTCCTTCCGGCATCTCCCCCACACAAAAGTTCAAAAATTTTCGAAAAAAAAAAAATATAAAATTTCGTATTGAGCGAAAGGAGTACCCGATGTTGGTCAAACTTGACACATCGTAATGTTTAAATAAGACGAAGATCAGAATAGGAAATGGACAAAAGGGTGAACTGAAATTTCTAAAATGTTTTTAATTTTTTTTTTTGAACGCAATTTTCTCGAAATTTTAATCAGGTTTTGAATTCCAAAAATAATTTTTTCAACATTTTGAGTTTTCGTGGGGAAGGAACTGGAATTTAACAAGTTAAATGAAATCAGTCGGTATTGCCGACAGCTGTATGCCCTCGGCCAATGTTGGGTAATTTAAATATATTTTGACTTGCGTTATGATTATTGAAACTGTTGGCCCTTCATAGGAGGGGTTTGAGTTTGAGTGGACCGATATTTTGCATTTCGTAGGTGGTCTGATAAAGTCTGATAAAAATATTAAAACTTATCAGATTTGTATTTTATTAGGTACCAGAATTAGTAGTCCGATATTGTTCATCTTCACAACACATCTTGTGTTCATAGAAGCATTGGGATGTGCCTAATTTGAAAGTAATCGGATGCTCATTTCGCGTTTTATGTGCTTAATGGTTATTCCAAATGTTGACCCTTAGTGGGGAAATACAAGAAAGAGTTGTCCGTTTAATTCGTTTAGTCCAGGTCTTGTTTTGAAATATTGAATTATGCGAAATTTTAAGATATTCGGTCTCTTAGCAAACATTTTATAAATGTTATAGTTATTCAAAAGACACACTGTGGTGGAACTATCAGAAGGAGTGGACCGATATATACCATATACCACACCAGATCTTGCTTAAGTAGAAATATTGGGATATATGAAATTTCAAAAGAATCGGATGATCGTTTCGCATATTATGAGCTTCATGGTTATTCAACATTTTGACTCCTTGTGGTGGAGATACCAGAAGGAATGGACCGATATATTCCGTCTTCACACCAGACCTTGGGTTAATAAAAAGATTGTGATGTGTGAAGACAATGAGACAATTGCATCACATTTTATAAGAACTATAATTATTCAAACTTTTGGCCTTTTTGGGGGAGGTATTTGATGAAGTGGACCTATATTGTCCATTTTCACACCTGACTTTACACTAATGTAAATCGGATTATCCTTTCTCTTTATTTGCAGTAAATTATTTTCTTTAAATATGTTGACATTTCGTGTGGGAGGTACCAGAAGGAGTGGGTCAATATTGTCCATCTCCGAACTCGATCTAAATTTGACAATAATATTATGATGCACCAAGTTTGGATCAAATCGGGTACTCCCCTCGAGAGTTATCGTGCACACCAGCCAGCCAGCCAGATAGACAAACGGACACTCCTAGAACGACTCCAAATGTCCTGATTCGGATTCGGTCCAAAGAGACCTAGACCTAATACCGCTATTTGGCCGTATCGAATGATATATATTCTCTCTAGCCATATATTTGAGGGTATAAAATGGTCTTTTGGTGCACCCTAATGGCTTGGATGAAATATGTAAGTGTTGTGGACTCTCTGTCTTAAATGCAATGTTGATATCATCAAGCCCGTGTCTTCATCGGGAGTCCATAATCTTGACAATAACAGATAAAGCTGAAAAATTTGTATTATTTAAACTTTCAAATTATATTTTGTGTCTCACTTACACTCTCTCTCTCTCTCTCTTTTTCTGCCCCATTTCCCCACAAATGAACAAAAATAAGGCCACTTATATTTTTTGAATATTTTTATATTCGCATGCAAAGACAAGACAGTATTCAATGGTAGAGGGTTATTCATGACTGACTAGACTTAAACTAAGGTTAACTTAATTTCGAGAATTTCTTGCAACTTCTTTCATTTTCGTTGTTGTTCTTGTTATTATTGTTGTTCGATCATTTTCTGTATGATTGAGTGATGGTTGGTAATGATTTCGAGGGAATGTTGTCTGCAGCTGGAGCAGGCAGGCAGCATTCATTAAAAGCCATTTCACTAGCGTATCATAAGCCAAGGTCGTTTCGTTCTAACGGGTTGTTGTTGTTACAATTGATTTAAAAAAGTCTGCAAAACAACAAGATTGGTAATTAGCTTCGGGGTAATGACGTGTCTCAATTAACTACTTACATCACATTTACCAATGATGGTGGTGGTGGTGCAAACCGACAGCAGCAGCAGCGGCGGCCTGAGCAGCGGCAGCAGCAGCTTGTTGGGCAACAGCTTGAGCTTGGGCAGCCTGGGCTTGGGCAACAGCTTGGGCCTGTGCTACAGCATGAGCCTGGGCATTAGCTTGGGCTTGGGCATTTTGTTGAGCAACGGCAGCAGCTTGTTGGGCAGCAGCCTGAGCGGCGGATTGTTGGGCAGCAAGTTGGGCCTGGGCAGCCTGTTGGGCTTGAGCAACAGCCTGAGCCTGGACGGTGGCCTGGGCAGCTTGAGCTTGAGCAGCTTGTTCAGCCTGAGCAGCAGCTTGGGCTTGGGCAGCAGCCTGAGCTTGAACAGCAGCAACAGCAGCCTGATTTTGAGCAGCAGCTTGTTGGGCGGCAGCTTGAGCTTGGACAGCGGCTTGGGCAGCCTGAGTTTGAGCAGCAGCTTGTTGAGCGGCAACCTGAGCCTGTGCAGCAGCCTGGGCTTGGGCGGCTTGGGCCTGGGCAGCAGCTTGAGCTTGAGCGGCCTGTTGGGCTTGTGCGGCAGCTTGAGATTGGACAGCGGCTTGGGCGGCTTGTTGTTGGGCAGCAGCTTGTTGAGCGGCGGCGGCCTGTTGTTGCAAAGCGGCAGCCTGAGCCTGGGCAGCTTGTTGGGCTTGAGCAGCGGCTTGTTGAGCTTGGGCAGCAGCTTGAGCTTGTACGGCGGCCTGTGCAGCTTGATTTTGAGCAGCTGCACCAGCGGCAGCGGCGGCTTGGTTGTTCACGGCTTCGGCTTGAGCTTGGGCGGCTTCAGCTGCTCTGGCAGCAGCTTCGGCATTAGCATTGGCAACGGCATCGGCAACCTGTTGAGCCTGATCTCTGGCAGCTTGAACGGCATCAGCAGCTGCAACTGCGGCATCGGCGGCAGCAGCACTTGCTAAACCATTTCGAAATAGAAACATTAAAAACTTTATCGAAATTCAAATAATCTTCCAATACTAACCATCAGGACCACCTCCTACAACCACTAGTCCGGGATGATGGACATGATGATGGTATGGCCATACACCCCAGGGCAATACATGGGCATTGCTGTTCACGGCATAGAGAGCCACGACAAGTGTTAACAGGGAAACCTATAGACAATGCAAATTAAGGTAAATGGTCCGAATTTGCAAAGAGAATATCCTTTCTTACCATTGATGTCCTCATTTTGAAATGTGTATGTAGATAGATAGATGAACTACTCTGGTTTTGTAAATTAAGCCGATGTTAGCTGTAAAAAATGTGTTGTAACAAGTCCGCCGTCTCTAGACGTTCCGTTGTGTACTCAGAGATCAATAAAACTGTGACTTCTTACCGCAATCCACCAGCAATTTATAGAGTCCCAAGATGGCCGTGTTACAGTTCTGCCGACCGCATGTTTCATTACAAAAATTACACAGTTTCAGTCGGTCAGTCTGTCCGACCATTTGAGCGATGCATTTCTGCTGCTGCTCTTGCTGTCAGTCATTCTTTCAGTCATCGATCCAAAAACAAACCAAAGAGAACAATCCAAGAAAAACAATCGATTGGGTGTTGGCTTTGGATAGAACAACTTTTTTCTTGTCGTATTTAAATTATTATTAATACAATTTACAAATTAATCTCATAAATCAAGCTTTTTGTTGCTGCTGCTGCTGTTGTTGTTATTGTCCAAGAAAGTGGAAACTAATTGCAGACAGTTGGTTATGAATACCTTTCTCAAGAAAAGATTCGGCATTTGATTCGACTTGCCTTATATTTTTGAATTTCATTCTAAAAAAAATTCCGTTTATGGTTTTTGCTTTGAAAGTAATTCTAGGAAAAGAAAGGAGTGACGTCCGACAAAAGTAGGGTTCTCATCACACTGGTTGCGTGTGTGTATGATTTATTCCAAAAGTTTTCAGCTCTGATTAAATTCAACGAAGTCATGGGTAGTAGGGCCACACAAAATACATGAAAATGGCGAGAAGGTGGGCAACTATTTTGGTAAGAGCCTACAACAATTTTTTTCGACCTCTATGGAGTAAAAATAGCCAAATCGGCCGTCTAATATGAACATTTGGCTTAATATACCAAATACTGAACACTTTGACGAGAGAGTCATCTACTCACTATAAACCCAAAATACAGGCCCATTCCGTTTGGACAATATGGCTAGAACCTTATAAATAACAATAAATTGGAACAACGGTTGTATCAAAATACGTTGTAAAACGCATGCCGTGGTATGGTGAGTATTCCACAATATGAACTAATATGGCTCATTTTCAATTTCCATTGTTAAAATTTCAAACATCCATACGTAATACGTAAACCAGTATATCTTATTATCTGCTATAAAAGGCGGTGCTAATACCAAAATTCAAGAAATGTTTGCTGTATCGTGACTTGAACAGACAGACGGACAGACGGACAGACGGACAGAAGGACAGAGAGACAAACGCATATCGTTAAATCGACTTAGAATTTTATGCTGATTTTGAATATATATTGTATGAGGTCTACGACGAATATTTAGGGGTGTTACAAACGGAATGACAAAGTTAATATACCCTCCTTTCCAAGGTGGATGGCATACAAAGTGATATACATCGTCACAATTCCCAATATCGTTAGGTACAGTTATAGGGGGTGGACTTATATGTCCCTTTTTATACCCTCAGTCATATGGCTACAGAGGGTATATATCATTTTATACGTCCAAAACGTGCCTAATCGAAAAAATTACCTTACACCAGCGCTCGTCAACACACCGCCCGTTTGAAATGTACCACACCTCGCATATAAACGAAGTTTTTTGTATGAAACTCAGCATCGATCATAAACTCACCACCAATTTGGGGTTTCCAACTTGGTCTGTCTGGCTGGCTGGTGGGCACGATAACTCTCCAAGGGAGTATCTGAGTTGATCCAAACTTGGTAGATCGTAACATTATTGTCAAACTTAGATAGAATTCGAAGATGGGTAATATCGGTCCACTCCTTCTGGCACCTCCCCCACAAAAATAAAAATTTTCACAGAAAATTCTTTACCTTATAAAATACAATAGGATCATCCAATTTTGTGAGACAATTTGCAAATCTTAATATTTTTTTTAGTCCAAGGAAAGTTGGAAAATTTCAATGTTGTCCCACATCATAAAGTACACCCCCCCCCCCCACAAAGGGTTAACACTTTGAATAATTATAAATCTTATAAAATGTGATTTGAAAGTCCGGTTTTATTTAAATTACGCACATCCTGCTCCAAAACAAGTAAAATTTTTGAATAACAAAAACACTCGTAAAATACGAAATAAGCATCCGACTGTCCTCAAATTTCACACACGTCAATATTTCTACTAACACTATATTTGCTGTGAGGGTGGGATATATTAGCCCACCTCTCCCCACATAGAGATCAAAACATTTAAAAATCCGATTGTCTTTAAAATTTACAAATCCCAATGTCACTGGAACAATTTTAACAGCTGTCGGACGAGTGGCTTAGAAATGACAGCAGTCTAAAGTTTGTTGCAGTTTTTTCATCTCTCCCCGTATATCTGAAATGCATTTATTGCAAGGATTCTTAACTCGAATGTTATTAGGTGGAATTTTCCCGGCCTATTTTAATTACCTGCCGATGTAAACTTACAGGTCACAATTATAGATCAAATGTTTAAGACATGATTGAGCTTACAATTTCGGATAGTCATCAGATATAATTTTCCATTCAGATGCGAATATTTTGGATGCAGAATATCAGATTCCTGCAGAATAACAAACACTTGGAAAATGCACTTTTAACCTTTACAATGATACCGATTTCTTAGGTTATATAGTCATACATCAAGGTGGGGGTAAAACGTTATAGGGAGGAGTGGGTCAATCTGTCCCTTATTCACACTATATATAATGTTGGTGGGAGTATATCATTATTCAAAGTTAGAAATAGATAAGTGTATTATTTTGCATTTTTAATTAAAAAAAATTAAAAAATTTTGTAAGAATTATAATAATTTAAAAGTTTAATGTTTTGTGGAGAAGGTTCCAAAAGGAGTGGTCCGCTATATTCCAAGTTCGCAACAGGTCTTGTCTTCATATAAGTATTAGGATGTGCGAATATTGATGACAATTTAACTATGTTGCAGGTTTGACAAACTGTTTAAATCAAAACTTTATACATTGTACAATATTTTCACGCTTTCCTTCTTAGAAAAGAAAAAAATGAAATTGTTTGCCTTTTACGCCAAAAAGATTTCAAAATCTTTAATTTTTAACTTAACCGAGGAGGATATTAGTAAAACCGCTTCACAGTGGACCCTCATCCAATTTTTCCGTTCAAAACCATTTCAACGTCTCTATTTGTAAACCCCAGAAATCCACAGTGACATCCATATCACATTTCAGAATTTCAGCTCTTTCCCTTCACCCAATACCAAATTTAGTAACATTTAGTATGTATATCCAAAACAATGTAAATCTCTTCATCCTAAACGGCAGCAGTGATCTTAATTTTGTACTATTTACTACTTTTCGAACAATTACAGCACACATTTCCAAAACCACACCCAGATGCCAAGACCAGGCATCAACAGAAACCACAATATAAAATTTCAGAATATTTTTCTCTTCAACAAATACTCAATTTAGTACCGCTTAGTACTTTACGAGCAATATTAGTACATACATATTTTGTCTCAATCCCTTCACCCAATACCAGCCACTAACATTTGTACAATTATAGCACACATTTCCTAGCTCCACATATCCAGGCTCGCATTTCCATAACCACCTTCAAATATAAATCTTACTTTCCAATGCCGATTCTCATACCAAGTTTTAGCTCTATCCGTTCACATAATACCAAATGGTACCATTTTAAATCTTTTCGTAACCTGCATGTTCTTTAAAGTACTCTCATTCCAAATTTCAGAATTCTTGCTCATTCCGTTTGCTCTATACAAAGTACTAAATTTTTAGTACGATTTTGTACTTTTCATTTTAAAAAATATCGCCTTATCACATGCCTACGCACCAACACTGACCCTAGTACAATTTTTCAAGATTCTAGCTAGATAATTATTAAGAAATTAAACCCTTTGATTGGGAGGTAATAGAATGAGTTGGTCCTGTTAGATACACAGACGGAAGGACAGATACCATAGTGATGAAGTTTAAGTTTTTTGTACACAACATCGAGTTTTAGGTAGCCCTGTAACCGCACAAGTTAAACACACAAAATTTTAAAGTTATATTATTTATATTTTTATACACTCAGCCTCATCGAAATAACGGTTTCCGGCCCTAGGTCTTTTTGGGCGACATCCATTTCAGGACATTCAGAGCCGATTTAGGATTACGGGTCCGTTCGTCCTTCTGTCTGTCTGGCTGGTTGGTGGGCACGATAACTCTCGAAGGCTGCATCCGATTTGATTCAAAATTGGTACATTGAAATATTATCATCAAAATTTGATCGAGTTATGAGATGGGCAATATCGGTCCACTCCTTCTGGTACCTCCCCTACAAAAGGTCAAAATTTGCACTGGAGAAAGTTTACTTAATAGAACAAGAAAGGACCTTCCAATTTTGTGCAAACTTTGCAAATCATAATATTTGTATCAGCGCTAAGTCGGGGGTGAAAATGGACAATATCGGCCCACTCCACCAAGTAACACCCCCACAATGGGTCAACATTCTTAATAATTATAACTCTTATAAAATATGAAATTAGAATCCGATTATCTTCAATTTTCGCACATATCAATATTTCTACCAACTCAAAATCTTGCATGAACTTTAGGTCTAGCACAAATATGAGATAGATCGCACCATTCCTTCTAGCACCTCCCCCACAAGGTCAGAATTTCGAGTAATAGCAACGCTTATAAAATATAAAAGAAGAGTCCGATTGTATTCAAATTTAGCATATCACAATATTTTTAACAATTCTAGATCTGGTATAAAGATCGGACCTACCCACAAAGGGCTAAAATGTTTTAAAATCAGGTCAATACTTTGAATACAATAAATAAAACTAAGAAGTATTAAAATATAAATGGGCATTCGAATCTTTAAAACGTCAAACTTGACAAAACTAATGGATTTTATTGGTCCAGTACTTTTAAGTAGAAGAATAGTAGAATTCTATGACAATTAAAATTTTGGAATATTTGGACTGTTTAAATAGAGTTCCTTAACATTCTCAAATATATAATATCGTTTATTTAGATTACTTTACAATGTAAACTTTCAAATCGCCGATAATCTTGTCATCTACATCCACATTCTTCTGGATTGTTCCTGTAATTATTAT